ATATATATATATATATATATATATATATATATATATATATATATATATATACACACACACATATATATATATATATACTGTAAGTACCAGTTTTGAGCTCTATTTATAATAAATTTTCCTATTCTCGTTTTTCAACTCGCGTTAAATGTTCAAAATATATCTCAAAAGGTCCGTAAAAGGTACAATTCGATAGCAATGTATATGGTTGAATCACGATATTCATATCATTATTATAAATAGAAGAAGCTATAAATTTCAAAATTCAAATATCTCGCTATGATTAATTCTTCTAGTTAAAGCTAATATTTTTTGTTTTAAACTTTCGTACTCAATTGTCTCTTGTATAATGCATTGGATTACCGTGATCAACCAATGACTATCGTAGGTAGATCAGTAAGCGTAAGTGTAAAATATCACTCATAAATTAGTGAGTTTTGCCGAGTGTAATCTTGCAGTCAAACTTGTTAGGACAGGTTGATTCGGATGGTACTTACGTGATGGTATTTTCTTAAATACTGTCTTGGCCATGAAATCCTGAAAGCGTTGCGCATAAAATCCTGGTCGATGTACCGATACAGTGTCCTTAGTAAGTAAGAAATATTTCATTTATATTAATAATACAATCAAAACCGGTAAAACAAAGGCGAAGATTGCGAGAAAAAAATTGAATTATAAAAAAAATCTATATTCGCGCGCAGGCGTATGTTTGCGTTCTATATATGTTACTTACCCCGTCATGTATCATTGATTTCCATGTATGTTCGAGTTTCTTTTTTAACCTGTAGCTTTGCAAAATGTCAATAATGCCAAGGAATAATAAAAGACGTTCACCACGAGCGTTTCTGGCAGGAATGCCACCTGCACTGTTATGAATGTAAAAATGAAATTTATTACAATTAAACAATATATTCATATAAATATATTCATAAAAAATAAAATTATTCGTAAAAAATTGTACATATTATACTTACGGTACGTCATCTTCTTCATCTATTGGTTCGCTCTCAGCCTGAATACTCTCCATTGCCGTACTGTGAGCAACCAACCTTTGACGATTTATACTACGTGATCGATTTAAAGCGGCAGCGCCTATTCTATCCTCTTTATCTTTTTCTCTCTCAGTTTGAATGAATCCATCACTTTCACCACCCATTTCCCCTTCTTCATCAGCGCTTGCCGATAATCTTTGTTCTTGCTGCAAAATATTATATAAACGTAGAACGTACGTAAGACAAATATATATTGACATTTATGTGATATAAAAAAAATGTCACATGATATTTACAGCCTTTTCCTTTGCAGCCTGGTCAAGATTATGGATTCCAACAAGTAAAGAATAATCCATAATTTTAAAACTTTCTAATACACGACAATCCCGTTGAATAGTTTTTACTAATGCACCATATGTATCGGCTTCTAAAAAGATACCTTCTGGATGATGCTCTATAAAATCTAGATCCTTATACGTTGGCGAAGACTTCGAACGTTCTAGTTTTGATGCCTAAAATTTTTAATACAACTTAATCATAAAATTATATATATGTATTGGTATAATATTAATATTAATTTATAATATTCATATTAATAAATATTATATAATATTATGTAATACAAACCTTTCTCTTGTATGTAGACCCTTTCAAATCATATTTTTGATGTAATTTTACAGATGAAGGTAAAAGATTATTCATAGCCACTAATCTAACATTTTTGCTATTACACCGATAGCAATACAATCCAAAAAATTTTGGCAATAATGTTCTTGGATTCTGATTTAAATTCTGCAGAAAATAACATTGTCGTTAAGCTAGATTTTTCATGTTAAAAATAAGGTTGGTTATGTTTACTTTATGTTTTATTTCTAGAACGTACCATATAATATCCTGGAAGTAGAGTTTGCAAAAACTCTCCCTCTTTATGTTGTACAGTCTTTATGATAAATTCATCATCATCCGTTAGATAAAAGATACTCCCACTAGCGCCAGGATTTGATAACTCACGTAGTGGTGCGCTACACATGGACATCTAGATATAAAGAATTCATTGTTGCACAGTACACGATTAATAATTTGTAACAATTTTTCACAGAGAAGTATTTCTGAGAGAAAAATTTGTCTCACCAAAAAATCATCTGGTTGAATGCCAAAGAGATCTCTAAAATAACGAAATGCAATAGGTGCATAGTTTTTAAATTTAAACTCCGAGAAATGATGGGCCGGAGTATGATTTGATCCTTCACTTGGAAAGTTCGTTGTTTCCACTGTCATAAAGTCTTGCATTAATAAATCACGTTCGGGTTTACTCGCAAGACCACCAACAGCATGCTGTATACCCAATTGGATAGATCCCATAATTTGTGTAGTTTGGATCTGTATAAAATTAATAAAATATATTTAATTAAAATCATAAAAATATACTTTATAAATATTATTAATCTTCATTTCATAAGTCTATTTCGTCAGTAATAATAGTAAGGACAAAATAATAATGACTATTAGCTATTAAATAGAGAAAGTCTAATCTCTCCTGTAATAAGATCGCATGAGATGATTGAATCGGTAAATACACATGTGGATGATAATCTCCTTTCTTGATAACTGAATGAAAGAATTATCGTATCTCTTTTATTAGCATCAAAAAAATCTTACCACTCATATTTCTCAACATGGTCTAAGTTTATTAAATCTTTTTCCTTCACTTAATAATACTATTTAATTTTGATTACAAAGCACAAAAACTGAAGAAACTATCTATTAGAAGTGCTATACTGGCATTCTTTACGTACCTTCTTATATGTGATTTCACCTCCCACTCCAACTCTTCGATGCCCGATCTTCCTCTCTCGTTCCGATTTGTTTCTCGATACCCCTGCAGGGGTCTTGCCAATCGTCGTACCATGTTGTACTATTGAGTTCTGCAAAGATAATTGATAGTACACAACACATTCTCGTTAACATCGAATGTATACTTAAGAAAAATAGTGTCAGATTGTATTAAATAATTATTTACATTTACAATGTAAATAATTATTTAATACAATCTGAAATACGCGCAAGAACTTAAATAACTGTATATTACAACTAGCTCGCAAAACTTTATAATACTACGAGATATCTTCTGTAGCGCTAATATAAATATAAAGGAAATAACGATAACAATTCTGATTACGTGTTATCCGTATGGAATTACACATATAATTAAAAATTAAAAAAAAAAAAAGAAAAAAACAATTTATAGGCACTATTTTATTGTTGATAAGTATTTTCACGTTTGATCATACATTCCGCAAAAATATGTGATTATCAAGACATGATATCTGCGATAATCGTTTACGTATAATGATGATTTATAATATACTTCTCTCATCTTTGTGTTTCGCGAACAATGATAATTAGAATAAGTCACAGAAATTCGAGAACCTGTTTTGTGCGCAATTTGACTCTTCACGAACTTCGCAAGCGTACAAGAATCGATCCTGGACGCTCGAGTGTAAATTACCGATGGCAAATCTGTACGTTGTACAAAAATAGAAATGATTTCGCGAGTAAATGTGGGATATATCTGGCGCGACTCGCTGTAAATAGAAGATTGGAGAAAACCCGCTATGGATCGGTATCGATCTTTCTAATTAATTCAAGATATATTAGGTAGTTTATTAGTTCCAGATTATTACATTCTTATCTTATCTGGGAACACGTTTATCTTTTACTATAAAATTTTGAGTTTTTATTTAAAGTGTGCAATAACACATGTTGGACATTCTTGTGGAAAAAGATCAAGTCATAGCGAGCATAAGTGATTGCGATTAGCAATATGAACGTAGATCCGCGGAAAAGTGGGGCAAGCGTTAATGGAAAAGAATTAAAAGATGATAGAATGCAGCACATTACGAATCGGAGTGATTTTTCATCGACGCTTTCTTTTTAAAATTCTTTGAGAAGGGAAAGCCAGGCAAGCATTCTTCTCTCGCATAGAATATTACAAGTTATTTATTATCAAAAATTAATTTTAGTATATAGAATATAGTAATTTTTTTAGTATATAGTAATTTTTATCAAAAAAAAAAAAAAAATATACAATTCATAATATAATAGATTAAAAGTGATACAACAGGATAAAAAGAATATCTCCGTGTGAGAACAAGCGTTACATTTGAATTGAATAGTATCAATAAAATCATTTACGTATCGATTTCTGGTCCATGCGCATGCATATCGAAAATATGTCTTCACGTTTATGATTGTATTAATTACTAATAATTATTTAAATGATTCATTACAATGTTATTAAAACTTAATTGTTAATAAAATATTCAAATGAAATTTGCTTGATCTTTTAACAAAATGAAATACAAATGAAATGCGAAATACGGAATATTTTAAGAGTATTAATAATCATTTAGAAAGATCAATACTTACGTCAAATGCTGTTGTTTTCTCTCCGGTCGACTTATCTGCAAAATAAATGATTTTAATGTCGCATGGCGTAATGTATGTAATTTGATAACAACAGCGTGTTAGATAACACGATGCAATAATTCTATAAAGTTCTATAAAGTAATATGCAATTTTTTTGTGGAATAATTAGTGCTTCTTTATTAATTATTAAATATATCAAAATTTTTCACAAATTTTACCAAATAATTAAATAAAAAGTTAGACTTATTTTATTTAAATATTCTGGTGTAATAAATCTGATGTAATAAAAAAAAAAATCTATGCTGATTTCCTATATAAAAATAATTTTTTTATTGGGATAAAACTATCTTTTAATAAAAATATACGCATGAATATAACAATTTTTAAACTTGATGTGAGAGTCTACATGATCGAAGTCAGCATTTTTTAAAAACGTGTTTCACAAAAATGAATGTTAGGTACTAGAGATAGTGCGCGGCTCAACGACATTTTTACACGATCGATTTACTGAAACGAGATTGCTTCTTTTATAATACAACACGCGTTCCGATAATGATTAGAAAATATTGCTAACTATTTCATAGCATATTTTACTATTAGATACGATTAACTAATCATTTGAATCTTTTTCGGCAATATCGCTATTATAAATTTTCCTTGAAGACAATGATTCTATCTACGTGAATTATTATATAGTACGTACATTATATAATTCAGAATCTATAATTCCTAACTAAATATAAAATAAATATATTGATATTTTTATTATAATAAAAAAATTGTATATGTGAAAGATTAATTATGTAGCAAATTAATTATGTATAAGAAAATACGTTAGATAATTGACCTTTCACATATACATCTTTTTCAAATGAAAATCAAAACTATATAATAAAGAAAGTAAAGAATGAAAATTTTGAATGAAAATTGCAAAATGCAAGGAAAGACTACAAATCTATGAGTCATGAAAGATATATCGATAACAAATTTATTATTTCGAGTGAATCTTGAATTAATAAATTATGAGCCAGATTGCCGCGAACAATATCAGGCTTGATATTGCTGGCGGCATTCCGGCTCGTAATTTATTAATTTATTAATTTATATAATTCAAGATTCACTCGAATCATTCGATTAATTGCGGGGAAAAAAACGACACGTGCACGTGCGGTTTGCGATATCGAATAAAAAAGGCCCCTGGGATGACCGCCTGTAGAATGAGGGTATAACGAGAGTCAAGATGTCCTTACTTAGTCTTCTATTTTTAACCACTGTCTTCCGTAGCGAGCTCGTGACTCAAACGCGTGCGACGGTCTTTGTTCGACTAAAAGACATTTTTGCGAAACAACAAAAACAAGAATGACGCCACTAAAAAACACCATCACCAAAATATATAAAAGTCAATGAATTTCTGAAAATTATGTGAGACATGCGCTATTTGTAAAGAAGAGTTGCCACGTTGCCAACCGTTATGTTTTGCATATCGTGAGAAAAACGTGTGAAACTATTTCTTTGCTAGGCAGAATGAATCGCATTATGTAAACACTCAAGGCTCTCATCCTTGAGATAATAAAAGTATTCTTCAGCAAGATAATATTCTTGTTCAGTTCCTTGGCTCGACACGATCGAAAACTCAGGAAAATAATACTTTCTGTTTACTTTATGTACTACGATATCGAGAGAAGATACGAGTAAAGAAATCTCAATTAAAACATCTAGACGGATGCGAGAAGAAATTAAAGTCACCGTGAATACATAATATGACATTTCACGTCGTAAAGTTTAAATTTGTTCAAGAATGAAATGCAATAAGAATATAATTTCCTTTAGTCTTTGAAAGGTTGAATAAATAATCTAAAGTTTAACAAAATTCCCATTTCCCCCGAAAACTCAAGAAATATTACGTCTCGAATATCATGTCATGTAATACTCAAGGAGGAGAATATAAGAGAAACAAATTTCAATTAAAGTATTTAAATAAAGAAGAAATTAAAGTCGTTAAATATGCAATATGCACGATATTTCGTATCGTGAATTTTAAATTTGTTCAAAAACAAATATACTATAAAGATAATAATAAAAGTAGTAATAATAAAGATACAATTTCTTTCATCTTTTGAAAGGAATTGAAGAAGAGAAGAGAAAAACAAAAGGATAGTCCAAAGGATAATAAAATTCTTGTCCGCTCATAAAAATATAATGCAAATAAACAAGAGTGGTGTAGGAAGGTTTTCTGTGGGAGAAGAGCTTTCGCTCGATAAGAAGGAATCTATCTTTCGAGAGAAACAGTTCGGGTGTAGAGGATCGCTTTCCAATGCGCGTTCCACTTTTCTGGCCGCTGTTTTCCTCCGCGGGGAAAAAATGGGGAAAAAGATACGTTCCTACGACATTCGTCTGGCGCGGATCCGATAACGACGATGTTATCGCGATCGCACGGTTCACGCGAATTACCAAGAGTAGATTACCACGTGCCGGGTCGTTGCAGCTGGATATCTATGTCAAACGGCTGTCAAACGGCCACGAGCTGTCACCTCGTAATCGTGCGACGAACGAATTCCCGCCGCGTTTCGTACGCGATTGTCACGATCGCTCCTCGTGCCGATGAATCGCCTGGTGAATCGGGATTCGCGGAATTCGTGACAAAGACGAGAGACGTGAACATTTTCCTTCGGTCGATGATTTTTGAATTCGAGCCTGTCTCTAATTTCATCACTCTCTTCCCGATTCTTATCCTATAGCCTATGTTTTTTTTCTAACGAACTGAGAGATAATTCCCTGTTCCGAAGGAGGAACGAGAGATTTCCTATCTGTCTATCGAGATAGGTCGAACGTCCTCCAATCCTATAAAAATCGAGTGGAATCTCCCGAGAGAATTGTTATTTGTTTATTCTACGAAACCGAACGTCTCTCTTTGTAATTTTCACTGTTAGATATCTCCGTAATTACGTAATGCGGGGGACGTAGACGGAAAGAAAGTATGCCATGCGTGGAATGCGTGATGTTTCGAAGCAATAGCTTTTCTTTTGGAATCAAAAATAAGGAACCTATCGCACCGCATCATCTAATCTGTGCACTAATGTGTTTTAACGCGCATTTAAAAATGCGCATGAAAAATTAATCTATAACGACACAATCTATAACGAGTTTTTCGATTGTGTTGTTCGATCGTCTCTGTGTCATGAAATTCTTTTAATGATGACACGATCCCGCGAGAAACACGTCGGATTAGGTAGAGACTTAGAATTTTCGAAAGCTATTTCGTGTCGCTCGATGTCGCGATCGACAGCTATCAGCTGTCAAATTTGCGAGCGGCCAAACGTAAGAGAAATCGCGATGTCGCTTGGTATTCGTGTGGGGATCTCTATTGTTTCGCGATACAAGTAATCATGACGACAGAGAAAAAGAGTGAGTGTGGTGTGTGT